TGCTCTGCTGTTGTGGGAGTACCTAGAATAGGCACATAATCACACTTGGAGGGAGTCAGAAGTTAGAGGAGGAAGGAAAAATAATCTGTAGAGCAGAACTTCTAGTAGTGTAGACTTCAAACATATCACTGCTGGAAAGAACAGAGAATCAGAAAACGACCTAGAGGAAGAATATTGGAGGTCAAGGAGCAGCAGTTTGGAAAAATGATCAGGAACCCGCTAACTTTCATTGGCTTTTTATTATATGTTAAGTGTACTGGAAATATTAACCTCATTTATTCTTGAGAACAATGGGATAATTACTGTTGTTCCCATTTTATTTTTGTTTTTGTTTATGTTTTGAGATGGAGTCTTGTTCTGTCGCCCAGGTTGGAGTGCAGTGGTGTGATCTTGGCTCATTGCAACCTCCGCCTCCCAGGTTCAAGCAATTCTCCTGCCTTAACATCCCGAAGTAGCTGGGACTACAGGCATGCACCACCATGCTCGGCTAATTTTTGTATTTTTTTAAAGAGATGGAGTTTCACCATGTTGGCCAGGCTGGTTTCAAACTCCGGGCCTCAGGTAATCCACCCGCTTCGACCTCCCAAAGTGCTGGGATTACAGGTGTGAGTCACCGCACCCATCCCGTTGTTCCCATTTTACAAATGAAGATACCAGCAAGGGTAAAGTCACACAGCTAATAAGTGTCCTTTGAATTTAACAACAAACTGTATTTATTTGCTTACTGGTTGGAAAAATTGTTTAAAATGTGTTTAGCAACAAAGCACTCACTGATAACCTTGGCAGGGGCAGCTGTAGTAAAGCAATGCAGAGGAAAGCCAAATTGCCAAAAGATAAGGAATACATATCATTTAGACAAATCTTTTTTAAAAATTGGCTATGAACTGGGGAGGAAGAAGGCAATGGAAAATATTTAAGGAGCCAGGGGATAAAGTGTGGTTGTAGGTAAAAGAAACGATGGTAATAAATGAGGTGAGGACTTCTAAAAGAAGAATTTGTGAGGCGGTGGGATCTTAAAGATAGATAAAGGGAAGGCCAGGAAATAAAAATAATTTTCCAGGACTGCTGTTAAGTAGTTGAGGAGGTCTCATCTAATGACTTAGGCTTCTAAATGATAAAGGAGCAGAGTCTACTGGTAGGTGAGGGTGATAGAATTAGATATGAGTAGTGTAAAGATTGGAAACAGCTGCTGTGAAGAAGTAGCTAAAAATCCTGGTGACACATAGGATAGCTGGCTAGCATAAAGTACCAAGTTAAAAATTTTAAATTTATAATTATATCAAGCTTCTCAGCTACATGGTTTTTCTGTAGCATTAAACAATTCTAAATATAGCTGTCAAGAAGCCAAAGACTTGGATTGTTCTTGAGTTTTTCAAAGCAAGTGTACCAGAAGAAAAATTGGTAAGAGAGTTGACACTGTTTTCAAAAAAGTGATTAAAATGTTGAGAGGTCATGACAAGAGGATTATTTGAGTCCAGGATTTCAGGACCAGCCTGAGCAACATAGCAGGACCCTATCTCTACAAATAGTTTTTTTGAATTGACTTGGTGTTTTAACATGTGCCTGTAGTCCCAGCTACTCGAGAAGCTGAGGCAGGAGCATCGCTTGAGCCCAGGAGGTAGGCTGCAGTGAATTTATAATTTCACAGGTGAACAATTTCTAAAGATTAACCAAGTCTAGGAATGTCTGAGGCAGTGAAATGTCTTAGGCAAAGAAAATTTACCAGGATTGGAACCACCAAAGAATTAGGAAATCGTGTTGAGTAGGTTGCCCAGAAAATAGGCAGGACTTAAAGATGGAGTCGAGGAAAAATGTCATCCAGAAACTAAATGAACACAAGGAACATAGGGAAGCTGATAAGTTGACAAGGAGAGGATGGTAGAAGCAGCCAAATGGCACAAGCTTCCTTGGAGTAATTGTACATAAACATGAAAGAATAACTGGAATCAGCATTGGGGATGATAGAAGCTGAACCCACTCTCTGACCGTGAGTATGCATCATCTAATAGAATGAGCAGTTACAACTTTAGGGGAATGCAAGGCAAGCTTTCTTGGAGTGGGGGTATGGTTTCAGTTATGGCAAAAAGGTGAAGTGAGCATTCATTGAAGTTTCTTTTTGGGGGGAAAGTATATTCCAGAGAGCTCAGTGAAAAGACATTGAGATGGAGAGGAATTAGCTCCTTTGGATAAGGCAAGAAGAAGCAGAGGATTATGGGAGTCTGTGTACTTCGTAGGATGGGTAAACATTAATGATTACATTTCTTGGGCAGTATTGAGGATGCAGAAGTGAGACACGGCCCCAGGGTTTTCATCATATTCTAATTTCACAAAATGCCATTTTAATGTCTATTTTATATTGTTTTATAATACGTTTTGTTTTGTATTGTTTTGTGTCCTGTTTTAAACGTAACATTATATTGAACAGCTTCCAACTACTAAAATTTCTTGAGTCAATTGGTTCATGTTAGGTAGCACATTAGTCTCAGCATGTTTGCATAAAATTAAGGTGGAATTGGCGTTCTTATCACAAAACAATCATACTTTTTTCCAGTTACTTCAAGGAATAAATTCTCTATTATGTTGATGTGCATTCAAGTATTTTATATATATACTAATGTTTAAAACCTTATTGCAAGATTTTTTTGTTACAACTTTTTAAAGAAACGCTGCATAGGAATGCTTCCTCACCTTATCCCCTAAAACTGAGAGTAATCCTAACCCTATACTTTTGTGAAAAGGGATCAAACAAATCTTCAAGTTAATAGAAACTCAACAGAATTCTGACCTAAGAGTTAAGGAAATGACTTCAGTGTTTACATAAATAAATAGAATCCTCAAACCTGTAGAACCGATGTGTTCAGTGTTGCCACCTTTGTCTAGTACATAGTTACTCAGATAATGTTTATTATATTTATTTTGTGTATTTTTGTTAAAAGTATAAAGGCAGACCTGGTTCTAATCCTAGCTCCATCTTTTTATCTCTGTGACCCTAAACAGGTAACGCCTCAAAAAAAATACTCAGACAGCCAAGCATGGTAGCTTACACCTGCAGTCCCAGCACTTTGTGAGGCCAAGGCGGGTAGATTGCTTGAGCCTAGGAGTTCAAGACAGTCTGGGCAACCTGGCGAAACCCCAGCTCTATAAAAATTAGCCAGACATAGTGGCGAACGCCTATAGTCCCAGCTACTCAGGAAGCTGAGGTAGGAGGATAGTGTGAGCCCAGGACACCATGGCTGCTGGGGCTGTGATCACGCCACTGCACTCCAGCCTGAGAGGCAAGCAAGACCCAGTCTTAAAAGACAGACAAAAAAAAAATAGGTTCTATATATAATGGTGATGATTTTTCATATTCTTTATAGAGTTATGAGGATTATATGACGGTAAAGTGCTTAGCCTAATGCTTATTAGATAGTAAGCACTCATTAAATATTTGCTAATTTTTATTATATGTGTTGTTATTCATTATTCTGCTCCTTTCTTTGATCAGGATTCTAGCAGCTATCCAATATCTTAACTAGAGTTGACAACTCTTTGCCAAAGTTAATAAATACTATTGAAACAATCAACTATCATTTAAGCCATTAAGCTAAAAAACTAATGCATGCTACAGTAGTCTCTTAAAACAGTTACGTGGAATGTAGGAAAAGAAACTTTTACAGAGTATCATCAAATAATTTCTCCCCTGTTGATGCAGTAATGTAGTAGTCATGTCACTGCCTGAAAATCCTGGGATCTTTATAAAAACAGGCCCCATTTCCAGATTTGTCTATTTAAGTTCTCCAAGCAATTCTGATGTTCAGCCTGATTTGGGGTTCACTTTCACTTGGAAATTCAAATGTTCCCTTCAGACACAATGTGTTAAATGAATATACATGTGTTAAATGAATATACATGTGTTAAATGAATATACAGTGACAAGTGTAGAATAGCAAAAGTGGTTTGAGATTGTGACTCCTTAATTGAGTGGCTGAGTACCACACACATCAGCCTCATAGCACATGCAGTTTAGATTTGTTTCTCAGCAGAACTGCATACCAATTGTAGAACTTCTGCATAGCTTATAAATAATCAAAATACCAAGACTGCTGTGTGTTGATTTGCTCATCATTGCTGGGTGTTAAGATACATTGGATTATCTAAACTTATCTATAGGGTGAACCTGTGTTTTCTTCTGAGAGGGTGTCACTTTTTTGTCCAGGCTGGAGTGCAGTGGTGTGATCGTGGCTCACTGCAGCCACAAGTGATCCTCCCACCGCAGCCCTGCAAGTAGCTGGGACTACAGGCACCCACCACCATGCCCAGCTAATTTTTGTATTTTTTTGTAGAAATGGGGTCTCACGGGGTCGGTCTCGAATTTCTTGTTTTGTTTTTTTTCCATTTGAGACGGAGTCTCACTCTGTCACCCAGGCTGGAATGCAGTAGCGCAGTCTTGGCTCACTGCAAGCTCCGCCTCCCGGGTTCATGCCATTCTCCTGCCTCAGCCTCCCAAGAAGCTGGGACTACAGGCGCCTGCCACCACGCCCATCTAATTTTTGTATTTTGGGTAGAGACAGGGTTTCACTGTGTTAGCCAGGATGGTCTCGATTTCCTGACCTCGTGATCCGCCTTCCTTGGCCTCTCAAAGTGCCCGGATTACAGGCATGAACCACCATGCCCGGCCTCGAATTTCTGGTTTCAGACAATCTACCCACCGCAGCCTCCCAAAGTGCTGAGGTTGTAGGCATGAGCCACCATGTCCAGCTAGGGTGAATCTTTATATGCCTTATGAAACTGTCAGAATTTCTCATATTAAGCTATGTTTTCATTTTTTATATATTATTTTATGCTTTGATTTTCCATTTGAATAGAATATTATTAATAGGATAATAACATGTACTAGTCATTAAAGTTGATCATTTTACTTTATTTTATTCAGACAACAGAAATTCCTGTTAACATATTTATTGCTTTAAGCTAAAGCATCTGTCTATATCTAGTCTCTTTAATGTGTTTACATTTAGGTGCCTATGGTTCATGCTTGAAGTTTTAATGACAAAGAATGAAAACAATAGCCATGCCTTTATGAAGAAGATGGCAGAGAACATCAAGTTAACCAGAGATGCCCAGTCTCCAGATGAATCCAAGACAAATGAAGTAAGATGAGTCTTAGGCCAGTGGATGTTAAGATGTAATAGAAAAATATATTGTCCCACTTTTTTTTTTTGGGGGGGGGGCCATACATAATAATTTAAGTTTTAGAATGTTTACAAAAGTAAATGAATAGTTTTTATTGCACTTCATTACAAGTGAATTTTATTTCAAGAATCTTTAGTGCTCTGAAAAGACATTATAACCTTAGATCTAGAGGATAAGAATAAAATGTACAACTATGCTATTTTACAAACTTACAGTAAGAGTTACAGACAAATGCTTGTTCTTTTTGTGTGCTTTCTTTGGGTTGGTTCATTCATTTGTTATTTTCCATGCATATTGGCATTCATGTTAAATTCATATAGAGGGATTTTTCTTTACCAGAAGGCTGCATAAACAATGCTGAACAGAAATATGGAATGTTCAAGGAATAAATAACAACCACAGTATCCTTCTTCTAACTCTAATGTATACATTTAGTGGAATTGGTAATTGTGATTATTTGCAATATTAAAAGTTATATATGATTCGTTTTCTTCCCTAGAAACTGTATACAGTATGTGATGTGGCTCTCTGTGTTATAAATAGTAAAAGTGCTTTGTGCAATGCAGATTCACCAAAGGACCCAGTCCTCCCAATGAAATTTTTTACACAACCTGAAAAGGTAATTTTCTTCCTCTCATTTTTCCTACCACACTAAACTGATTTAAATTTCAGTTACCATCAACCATTGTGGCAAATACTGAATTGTCTTGACTACAGAGTAAAAAAAGAAAATCAGAGTTTATCAAAGAATGGGAGATTGTCTTACACAGCCCTGAACATTATTCTGCCTTGAACAGAAGACTACAAATATTGTTGATCTTATGTTTATTCTAGGAATTTCTAGCATTAGAGTTTTCAGATTTTTAAAATTATTTTAATCTCATTTTATTGAAACGTATTTTTGCAGACAAAAATTTTTAATATTTGGCACACCGTAAGGAGGGACAAGTTCCCTCCTCTAAGCCTCAATTTCTTCATCTTTATAATGCAGATGTTAATAATACATATGGACAATTACTAATATCTAGGTTTATATGAAGAGTTCATCACATAAAACCATTCAATAAATGGTGTTATTAATTAATATACAGTGTATCTATTCTGCTTTCAGCAGGTTGTTTCCTATGTAAGTAAAATTTTCAGGTAACCCAGGTTCTGTTAAGTATTTCCAGCTAATTTGGATTTTTTAAAGCTTTTATTTATTTCCTGCTTTTAGGTAGTATTTTAAACTTGTTTAACTTTCTCCTGTAAATGTATATATATATGCCTCAGTAATGACCCCTTTAGAGCAGTGATTCCCAACCTTTTTGACACCTGGGACCAGTTTCATGGAAGACAATTTTTCCACAGAGAAATTGAGGTGGGGAGATGGTTTCAGGATGAAACTGTTTTACCTCAGGTCATCAGGCATTAGTTAGATTCTCATAAGGAGCACACAACCTAGCTCCCTCGCATGCATAGTTCACAGTAGGGTTTGTGCTTTTGTAAGAATCTCATGCTGCCATTGATCCGACAGGAGGCAGAGCTCAGGTGGTAATGCTTGCTGGCCAGCCACTTACTGCCTGCTGTGCATCCCAGTTCCTAACAGGCCGCAGACCCATGACCTATAACCCATACTGGTCTGCGGCTCGTGGGTTGGAGACCCCTAGCTTAGAGAATTCTCCAAATGCACATTCCAAGAAATAAACGGAGCTTCCTACTTTGAATGCCGTACTTTACTAAAAGTTTGCTAAAATGTAATGATTTTTATTATTTAGTATTAAACACTTAACTGTGCCTTGCTTTTGATAGAAATAATGAGAATTGCAAAAGTATACTCTCTAATTGAATCCACTGATCTGTATAAAATTTTGTTTTGTTTTGTTTTTGTTTTTGTTTTTGTTTTTGTTTTGTTTTGTTTTGTTTTGTCTCTGTCACTCAGGCTGGAGTGCAATGGCTTGATTTTGGCCCACTGCAGCCTCCAACTCCCTGGCTCAAACAGTCCTCCTACCTCAGCCTCTCAAGTAGTTGTGACTGCAGGCGTGTGTCACCACACCTGGCTAATTTTTTAACTTTTTTGTAGAGAGGTGGTTTCATCATGTTGGCCAGGCCTCAAACTCCTGGGCTCAAGTGATCAACCCACCTCCAGCATCCCAAAGTGCTGGGATTACAGGCATGAGCCACCATGCCCAGCCTGTAAAATGCTCTTAAGTGAGCTGTTGAATTAAAATTAATCCTGTTGTTGACCAAGGACCATCATGAATAGAATAATACCTGAATAGAATCTTCGTAACAGTGGTGATACCATCATCAAGAATTAAATTCCTGCATGTCACTACACCTGTCTGGCCTCATAAATAACAATTTTTGTGGTTTTTTTTCTTTTGATATTTTCTGTGTTGTAGTGTTTTAGTCTTCTTAATAGTAACTTAGGTTTTTCTGTTTTCAGTATGCAGCATTCCTTATTTTTCTAACATGTTGCTTTCAATGTGTTATAAATTCATAAACACTAGAAAACTAGGTTTGTGAAGTTAGTGAACCTAGTGAAGCTATAGTATATCTTTATGAATGAAGTGAATGAACTTTGGTACACAGGTTTCTTGATGTTTATTTTAGCTGCATAGAAGACTGTGCAAAAGAAATGATACGACTTTGCCTAGCACACATGACAAAACTGTGATTTCCTCACAGGCACACTTTGTTCTTTCCTACTTCTGTGAAGGTAAATTTAATACAATTAAAAAATATTTTTTAATGGGATTACTTAAAACTTATTTATATTTCCTGAGTTTAGTAGCTGGTTTTGCTTCACTGACACAACGTTGTGGTTTATTTGTTTGCCATTTTCAGATATTAAGCAGGAAGAGGCATCAAGAGATCAAGTTTGAACTCCTAATTTGTATATAGATAACAACTCTCAAAGTGCTATCATTTTCCACATTTCGTTTAAATCGTTTATTTACTTGTTAATATCACAGCTGTCAACATAATTCACTTAATTGTATTTTGACAGTTGGTCTACTTATGGTTCTAAGAAACAGTTTTATGTGTTTTTTGTTGTTGTTTTTGTTTGTTTGTTTGTTTGTGTTTTGAGATGGAGTTTCACTCTTGTCACCCAGGATGGAGTGCAATGGCACGATCTTGGCTCACCACAACCTCTGCCTCCCAGGTTCAAGTGATTCTCCTGCCTCAGCCTCCTGAGTAGCTGGGATTACAGGCGCATGCCACTCGGCCCGGCTAATTTTGTATTTTTTGTAGAGACGGGGTTTCACTGTTGGCCAGGCCAGGCATGTCTCAAACTCCTGACCTCAGGTGATCTGCCCACTTTGGCCTCCCAAAGTGATGGGATGAGGCTCACAGGCGTGAGTCACCACACCCAACCCAAGTTTATGATGTGGTGGAATTCAATGAATAAATTTAACGAATAAACTGCATTGAACCATATGAAAACATGGGTGTGCTTTATTTATGGTGTGATTTAGGAAATTTATCTTTGACATTTGCCTAAGTGTGTGTGCCATCAGTTTAATTTAAAGCTGGACTTATGGTATGGCTTGTTAAATGTTTTGTTTGTTTGACGAACTGGTATATGTGTTAGCACAAGTATATTTATTATTGCAAGGCACAATACCTAAAAAACCTTATTGGAATAATTAAAATACTCATGTTCCCTTTGACTGATGTTTCTTTTTTCTTTTTCTTTTTTCTTTTTTTTTTTTTTTTATTAATAGGACTTCTGTAATGATAAGAGTTATATTTCAGAAGAGACAAGAGTACTTCTGTTAACAGGAAAGGTATTATGTACTTAATAATTTTGAGATCTTTGTTTCATGTGTATATTGCTTCTGCTATTCCTAGAAATACCTTT